GGGAAAGATGGGACACATGGGTTGTCAAAGAAAAATATTGGCATGCAGCCTCAGCCCATGACTATCAAGAATCTGACAAAACCTATTGGTGGAAGAAAGGAGCTATATAAAGGTCCCTGAGATTAGAGGGAGGTAAACATACTTGGGCAACAAATCCCAGCAAAAGAGTAACCAAGTGAGAATGGACAAGGCTGAGGAAAATGGAAGGGAACAAGTGTTTGTCAAAAACCCCTCAGAGGAATGGTGGATTGTTTCCAAAAGGAGATGGATGGAGGATAGATAAAGTAAAAAAGTGGCAAGGGTAAAGCAAAGGAAAGAAACTTAACTTGAGAAAAACTAACTGAGGACAATGGATCAGAACCCCAAGCTTGAAGAAGAGACTCCAGAGTTTGGGAGTCTAAGAAAAGAGCTTCTGCTTGATTGTAAGCCATGGCATATGTGTGCAGTTAAGAAAAATGAGACACAACGGTACCAAAGCGAAGTTGAGATAAAATATTTTTCAGCATGGACTCAGATATTAGGGAAAGAAGGAAGAACATAATATTCTGAAGAGGTCAAATGAAGATGGGAACATAAAGAATAATAAGAAATAGAAGAAAGTGAAAAAAGATAACATATCTGAGAAGTCACAAAAGGACACAGAATGTCAAGGTTAGATCCACATCTGCACTGAAAGAAGCATTCATAAATTTAAGAGACAAGAATTATAGGAGGAGGAGAAGTCCATGTCAAGGTCTGAAAAGGGCCCAGGGCACATGCAAGACTCCACCACCTGTCACACAATAGTAGTCATGTCCTCTGACAGACAAAGAAGTACCTGACACCATTGTGGTAGTCGATCTAGAGTGAACAAAGTCCAGATGTTCAACACTAGACAGTGTGGAAATGACCATCTTATGTTGAGAAAAATAAAAGGCAGAACTGCTTGAAAATAAAAACAAAAAATAATTCCACAGCATTTGGCTTTGAAGATACTTCAGCCAAATTCTGATGCTGAGAAAGCTCACGAGCTTAAAAAAAGAGAAATGTCTTAACAAATGAGTGTCAAATCAAGAAGTGATGCTTAAGTAATCAATATAGAGGAAGCCAGATGTGCTAGGAGGTGGTATTGCACTCCTATTGATTGAGGGTTGTCATATGCTCATTTGCATGCAACAATACAGCAATATCACGTAACGTGAGATTAGGTAGGGTCTCAAGGCTAGTAGTGAGTAAAAAGTTTGTATACAGAGGGCAGCACTGAACTGGGAAGGCTAGATGTGAGAAGAGTTTACGTATCGTATTGGAACTAGTTTGTTGGATTTGTTGACAACATTCTAAGAAGTAGATTCTAATTTTTTTAGTTATCTCAAGCCTAATATCTTATTAGAGTATACATATATAACTCATCATAAAACTAAAAAGTAACTTATTCTTTTCTTTAGAAATTATGTTGAAAAATCAGTGAAGGATTTGTCATAATTATGACATGTATACTTTTTAACACCCTAGGATTTTTCACAAACTTTTCAATAAAAAAAAAGCTATTTTCATATATATAGCTAGATACAGGTAACTGCTGATCATGTGAGTTAGTTTTTCTTCATCTTAATTTTCTTTCCTGTATTGCAACATAATTAATTATATGTTAACTGCAAGACCATTTATAATTTTTACTAAAATTAGTAGTCATATAAAAATATATAGAAAGAAATTATGAAGAATACAAGATTTACTTTATAAAAATAAACTTTGGACTAGTCTTGATTTTTAAATTATTCCTAGTTCTTAACCACTGATAAAATAAAATTATCTTTAAAATAAATCAGTTTACAATTGAAAGTATGTATTTTATTTTTTAAATTACCTTTGAAACTAAGATTTCCAATATCTTTTGAATTTTAATATACTCTTCCTTTTAAGATTATGCATACACAATGCCTTTTCAATTAATTATTTGTATCAAGGAAAATGTTCAGAAACAGATTCACTAATTTCCTTTTTATCTTCACATTATGAAAAAAGAAAATAACTTTCATACATAAATAGTAGATATTTACTAGTCTACTGATTACACTAGCTATGTAACCTTTTTTTTTGACTTTTATTTTGAAAATTAGCATAAAGGATTTTATAACAAGACTTGTACATATTTTTACCTTGTGTTCTGCTGGAGTCTTGACTGTTTCTATTACCTAAAAATATCATATGACAATAACAAAAATAAAAACATGATTATATTTGATAATCCCTGGCACAAATGTTAATTTTTTTAAACACATATACATAAATAATTTCTGTTCATATCTTAACCCTGTGTTAGTCTTCCGGATCTTCGTGGACACAAATATTTTATAAACACTGACGCCGACAGATGAAAGCACATATACGCGTCTTGTTCTCGGTAGCTTCAGTATTCAGCAGGTTTGTGTTAAATTGTTACACTTAGTTTAGGTGGTAAAAAAGAAACAAGTTGTAATATTCAATGTTCATTTATTGATTAATAAAAGAAAAGATTTTGAAGATTAGTGTTTTTTGTTTCCAAAATAATAGTTTATTATTATTTACATATTTTTCAATTAATCTGCTTTGACCCCAGATGAATGACTATGGAAAATTTTTACAGAAGACTAATGCAGGATTAAATGTGAAATTAAACATTAAATTGGACAACATTTCAACTTTTTGTATTAAATCTTAATAATGATGGAAAAGGGAAGTGAAATTGCAAAATGAGAAATTAAAAGTCAAGAAATAAACATTAGTTTGCAAGTCAAACTTAGTGCATGAAAATCAACTAATGGGTATAAATTATGTCAGTGTTTCTAGCAATTAAATTAAAAAATACTGACATTTTCAAATCCTCTCAATATTCTGGATTGTTTACATCACAACATTATAGAGAAAAAAGAATATTCTAACAAAAGTCTATAACACCTGAACCTCAAACTACAAACTAATTCAACATAACAAATTATGTATATTTTTCTATGAAATGAACTTATTTAAGTAAATTGAGCTAAAATTATTACTTTAAAAATTCCTCAAACTGAACTCTTATCTATGAAATGAGGTCCAAGAGTGCCCTAGTGTTGATGCTTAATGTGAATGCTCCATCACACACTTAGTTTTTGTTAACTCTTTTCATGCTAAGATAACACAGGCCTACGAATTTAAACTTAATAAAAGTTGTTTTGGTTTTAATAACGGATTTTCCATAACTCAGCTATGCAGATTTAAAAAATAATATTCATTTTCTTCTATCACATAAGGATTTTATATGAATCGGGAAGAAAAAAATTCTTACTTAGATCAAATTATTATTTCGTTTATCATAATGAACATTTTTTATTATTATGTTTGATCACAAAAATATAGACAAACTGAAGAAAAGGGAAGAGAAGAACATTGATGTCAAACGAATATGCATCCTCATTCATCCTGATTTTCTTTTGTGAAATCTAAGTCTTTTTGTCTCAAAAGCACATGTTGTGATCTTTCTTTTATGTATTGCATCTGGAGCATATCGTTTCAATGACCAGCAGTAATCAGCCATCATGCTGATGTTCCATCTTCCCTGATACCTCCTCTCCATTTCCCTGATGTCTTGATGGAAACCTTTCCCTTTGTTCTTTGCTGATGGCATCGAGATTTTCAGGGAAATAGTAAATATGTAAGCATAAGAAACAAACTTTTAAGCTCATATTACAACCCAACTCGAAGCATCATGATAGTCAGCAGTATGATGAGCAGATAGGGACACTTTTAAAGCAGTTACAGGCATGATATTGAACTTGGCTAACTGAACAATATTTACCAAGGTAGTTCTAAACAGTTCCTGAATACTTCTACATGTCATTTGGAGACTTTCATGCTTCTTGTGCTTGGCCGTTAAGCTCACGATGTACTGACGGATTTCAGTCACCTTACCATTAAAAATTACTTTTCGCAGCCCCAATGCTAAAAGAGTGTGGGAAATGCCTTCTTTTTAGCCAATAAAAATGTCCCCCTTGGCTCGTAAGGAGCCTGTTAAAATTAATGAAATAGAAGTAGATCAAATTACTCTCTGATCTACGAAATAGTTTATGTTTGTGCTTTGTTTATGGGATATAAAACATAGATACATCACATTTGACAAGAATTACATCTAAATTGTCAATAAGAAATAATCCTTTATACATACCTTTATCCAATTATCACAAACAGTTTTTTGAAATCGAAGAATGGAACGAAAGGCATCTATGGTGAGAAATTCTGCACCCCTGTCAGTCCTTTAAAAAGTAGATATAAAATATGAAGTATACAAAAGTTATGTCTTATTTTCTAGGACGTAAATTATTATGTTTGTGCTTACTTAAAATTTTAAATAGTAACTGCTGTCTATTCTCGTCTGCTAAAATCACGTGTGGTCCATAAAACACTTACTTGTTCCAATACTGCTCTCTAGTGAAGATTTTAACATTTCAACTAAAAATGTATATTTCATTTGGGCCAATACTTGTGATTATTTAAAGTACTTACTTATCTGAAGCTTTTCTTTTTCGTGGGGTTGAAGAATTTGCTGGTGGAAATGAAGCTTTAAAATCTAAATTGTTACGG